ATATTGGGAATACAAGTATCACTGGTACTCAAAACATGCTCCCACAGACCACTTTTATTCCACAAATTAGACCAAGAAATACAACTACTAAAGTCAAATAGTGGCAGTTAATGAATGTAAACTTAAGTTTTTCTTTCTTAAATTTCTTTCATAAACCTTCAGCTTCTGGTCTTATATAAACAAATGTAATAAAAAAAAGTTTATCCAGTTACAGCTGTGACTACCAATGCCCTGACTTAGCCAGTCAGTTTAGTGCAGGAGTAAAGGGCTTGAGTTTTAGAGTCAGATGGCCTGGATTTATACTGCAGCCCCATCACTCAGAAGCACTGTGACCCTGGGCAAGTTACTCTATCTCTCTGTGCCCTAGCCTTTGCATCTATAAAGTAATAATAATAATAATCCCCATTTCACAGGGCTTTACGAGTAAATACACAAAAGCTCTGAGAACGGTGCCTGGCACAAAGTATGCACTCAAGAAATATTAGCTATTAATACCACATTGCATGTATAGAATGACTGATTTTTTTCCTATTAAAATCACTCTTAACTGTATCCAATAATGTAAAGCATCAAGAATTCAAGGGACTTCAAACTCTACAAGTTTATATCATCTCGAGGAAGAATGAGATGTAGAAAAAAAAGTTTTTACTCTACCTTTCGCAGAAGCTTATCATGGCAACGTAGAAGTTCAAAGAAGAGCTCTAGTAAACTTGATGGATTGATGAGATTCTTATTTCTCAGCAAGATCAAAGCTTTGCAAAATGTCTCAGGAAGGAAAAGAAAGCATACTATAAGATAATGGTAAAGTTAAGAAAACGAGAAAATGGAGCATATATATCCCAAAGAGCTTAATGTCTTTTGCTAACTAGTTGCTACCACAGAATTCAGGATAGTCTCTGCCCTCGTGGCGATTTAATGGATAAGTTTCTCAAACTAAGCAGTATAAACACTACAAGTTGTAATTAGGATTCTTCATGAATAAGATTTGAATGACTAGAAGGAATCACCTACTCAAGAGGTTAGGGCATCCTGCATTCCAGCATACAGCTACGCTGGAAGGACAGAAAGATCCGAGTGTAGCAGGAAAGGCTGAGATCAGAAACACAGGCAGGAACAGATCATGGCGGGATTTAAAGGCCATGTTATTGAGTTTTATTCTAAGCATAAATAAGAAGCCACAGAAGGATTTTAAGGAAGGGGTGACACATTCTGATTTACATTTTTCAAAGAAATTTAGCTGAGAGATTGTTCTCATTTAAACCCGTATTACATGCACACATGAACACAGCACAATTTATTATTCCAAATACTGGTCCTACCATTCGAAGATCTGGATCCAGGGCAGTGTGATTGTAGGAGAGAAGATCTTTCAGCTCTTGAGGAAAGTTACTCAGATGTTCGGGGTAGCAGTGGCCGATCTGTAACAAAGCAAAGGCTCTTCTGAAGTTTCTCCCTTTCTCTCCTATAATTCAGACACACACGTTTAGGATGTTCTGCAAAAGGACAGTAAAAGGCTACGTTTCATAGAAGTAGATGTTTCAAATCACCTCTTTTTCTTCTACATAATTTCTCCAACCCTTATATTTCCTCTAGTCTTAGTAAAAAATTTGACATGATTTAGAACCTGTTTTTATGATGATTTGAAGAAAAAAATCAGATTTTTTTTTTTAAACAAAGTCTATCTCCGAAAAAAAATTAGTTTGACAGTTTTATTCTGGTTGGCTCTGTGAAAAGATCTAGCAAAATCCTCTAACTTGCAATACGGAGAAAACAGAATTTGCAAAAAGAGAAAATTTAAAAAAATTCTAATTAAGTTTCCACTCCAGAGTGGAATAAGGTTGAATATTAGTGAAAAAATATTCTACAAATTGTGTGTAACACTGGTCTTTGTTTTATTAAGAAATTATCTTCTTACCTGTGCCATAAACATCACCAGCTCTGCTAGTTCTTTGCTGGGTTTATTTGGTTGTAATTTGAAAATCTCCACATTGGATTTGTAGTGATTATACTGCTGTAGAAACTGTGGAAAAATACAATTTAAGTTTGTCACATTCTATTAAAACTTTCTCAGTACAGAATGAAAAACTGCTTAATAGAAATCTTTGACAGTGGCATGGAGAAAAAGATATGTCAAAAGTATATAAAAACACTTTTTCCTTATCTGCATTCTTCAAAATGAGGTTTGAAATACTCCAAGCACAGCACAGACAATCTAAAGAACCTTTCCTTAGAGTTATTATTAGAAGCTCAGGTGGTGTGGTATAAAGACCAGGGAAGCGCGAGTCAAAAGCTCGGATTCCGGCCGTGTTCTGCCATTTACTACCTACACGACCCCTGCTATTGCCTGTGTATACAGAGCACTCAAATCAGCAGAAAAATACCAGGTCAGAAAATGTAAATTATCAAGCACAACAAGCTCTCCAGTCAAAATTCCCTTCTTCTAAATATCAATTAAGATTTTATTGCTAGATTTTATTGCTAAGATTCTATTGCTAGAGTCCTACAGCCAAGAGCAACTGGAGTGCAGTGGTATGATCACAGCTCACCATGATCTCAAACTCCTGGGCTCAAGCGATCCTCCTGCCCCAGGGTCCCGAGTAGCTGGGACTACGGGTTCAGGCCACCATGCCCAGCTAATTTTTTTGTAGGGACCAGGGTCTTGCTATGTTGCTCAGGCTGGTCTCAAATTCCTGGTCTCAAGTGATTCTCCCGCTTCGGCCTCCCACTATGCTGGGATTATAGGCATGAGCCACCGTGCCTGGCCAATTCTTGATATTATGTCTATGTGAAGGGTCTTTGCAATACCCTGTCCCTCAATTCCTTGATCTCTCCTCCTCTAATCATCTCCAACTCTTATTCTACCTTAACATTCACTCCCCTGGTCACATCCTAAATCTTGTCATTACCAATAACTACAACTCCTTCATGATCTCAACTAGAAGCAATCCCCTCTCTGACCAAAATCTCCTATTTTCCATTTCTTTTCCGACAGTACTCCAACTCCAACGATCCTTCAATCTCATTCAAAATCTATAGTCCATTGAGCCTACTACCTTTCCACTGTATCTCACCAACTCCCCTCTCTCCAACTTCCCTTCTCATGCAGCTTCAATTCCATGATCAACCATTATAATCACCTCCACGCATATACGTCAACTCACTTGCCCCTTTCTCTAGTCATTGTACCCATCTGGCAAGATGCCCATCCTGTGCACTCCCTATTCCCCCAACCCCTGGCCCCTGGCAACTATTTTCTGTATGGATTTGCCTATGCCAGACATGCCATATACATGGAATCATACTCCAACTGCTTTTAAACCTACTGAAATCAGATTTTTGTATCCATTGCTGTACTCAAACTACTCATATCAAGGTGGCCAATGACATTCATGTTGCCAAATTTAATGGTCAATTTTCAGTGTTTATCTTTTTTGACTCAGCATCTGATATGCTTGGTCTCTTCTTAGAAAACATCTTCTATACTTGGCTTCCAGGACACCACCTGGTTTTCCTCCCACTTCACTGGCTTTCTCAGTCCCTTTTTCTAGTTACCCAGCAACTCACCAGCCTTGAAATGTTGCAAGTCCCCAGGGATTGCTCTACTGACCAGATGCAGACTCTTATCACTTCTTACTGCCTCCACTGTTACTATCCTGGTCCAACCCAGCATCGTCTCTTTCTGTGGATAACGCCAACAGCCTCTTAACTGGTGTCTCTGCTTCCACCTTTGCTCTCCTACACACAGCCTGTTCTCAAAGGGAGTCAGAGTGATCCTGCTCTTACACAAAGTGGTCCATGTATTCTGCTGCTCAAAACTCTCTAAAGGCTTTCAACTAACTCAGAGCTAAAATCCAAAGTTCGTAAAAACCGCCAGGCTCAAAACAAAAAACAAAACAACAAAAATCAGCCAGGCTCTATAAGATATGGCTTCATCTCACCGCCTATTATTCCCTTTTCTTCTTCTTCCCTTTCAGGCCCCCTTGGCTTTTTTTTTTTTTTCTTGGACTTTCTTGGGCTTTTTTTTGGCCCGGGTTTTTATACCTTCTGTTCCTTCTGCCTAGATCATTCTTCCTCTAAATACACAGCCGTCTCTCACCTCTTTCAGGTTTTTACTTAAAAATCATCATCTCAAGAAGATCTGCCCTGACTATCTCATTTAAAATTCCAATACCCACCTCACCTCACCCCCAACATATACAAGTACTTTCCTATTTTCTTTTTTCATGGCATTTTTTAGAATTTGACATATTACTTGTTTTGTTTTGTTTTTTTGTGACGGAGTCTCACTCTGTTGCCTGGGCTAGAGTGCCGTGGCGTCAGCCTAGCTCACAGCAACCTCCAACTCCTGGGCTCAAGCGATCCTCCTGCCTCAGCCTCCCGAGTAGCTGGGACTACAGGCATGCGCCACCATGCCCGGCTAATTTTTTCTATATATATTTTTTTAGTTGTCCAGCTAATTTCTTTCTATTTTTTGTTTTGGTAGAGACGGGGTCTCACTCTTGCTCAGGCTGGTCTCAAACTCCTGAGCTCAAACAATCCACCTGCCTCGGCCTCCCAGAGTGCTAGGATTACAGGCGTGAGCCACCGCGCCCGGCCAGACATATTACTTGTTATTGTATGCCTCTCCCTACTAGAATGTAATTTAATAAAGATGGAATTTTCATCTGTACAACTCAATACTACAGTCCCAGGGCCCAGCACTGTGCCTAGCACATAGCAGGTAATCAGTAACATTTACCGAATGAATGGACTTTAGGAAATAGCACTATCATCTGCCTAGATGCAGACATAAAAAACCTGAGTCATCCTTCATTCCTTCTTTTCCCCTTATCCTGCATGTCCACTCCACCAGGAAGTGGCTCACTAGCTCTACCTCCATGCAGAGTAGTCCCAATCTGTCTTCTTAATGCCACTGATCATTCCAGTGGCACCACCATCCCTTGCCTGGACCATTCCAACAGCCATTATATTACTTAACCTGCTTCTGGACTTGCTCCTCTACAATCCATTCTGTATGTAACTTTCAGAGTAAATTCTTAAAAATATAAATCAGATCATGTTACTCCCCCACTTAAAACTCTTCAATTGCTCCCTAAAGCACTAAGAGTAAAATCTATACTCCTTACCATGTCCTAAAAGGCCCTGCATGGTCTGATCCCTGCCTGCATTTCCCGATCATCTTCCACTGCCCTCTTCTATGTTTACGACACTTTAGCCACCCAGGCTGCCTCTCTGCTTCTTTCCACCAAGAGCTTCTGCACTTCCTATTCCCTCTATCTAGAATGCTTTTGACCTGTCTGGCTTAGTATCATCATTGCAGAAAAGCCTTCCCTGTTTAGGGGATCTAAATTGGCAGCCTCTAATTCTAATGTATTCCCATACTGCTTTACTTTCTTCACAGTCATTATTACTATAAGGCTACCCTCACTTGAATGTAAGTCCAAAAGAAGAACGCTCTCTTATTTGTCTCATTTATCACTGTATCCCCAGTGCCTAGAATTATAGCAACATATGGTAGGTGCCATATAAGTGAATTTGCATATACATTTAAGTGAATGAAAGAGGTAGGTATTATCCCCTTCTCACATATTAAAATACACACGTAGGCTCAGTGATTAATTGCCCTGGTTACACAATTGGTCAACAACAGAGCCAGGACCAAGAGTTAGTTTTGAAACCAATCCTCTTAAATACACAAACTACATGGACTCTCAACTTATCACTTTATTTGCCAGTGGCTGTACAGTGCTTTAAGCATCTCAAAACCTTGTCTATATTACTTTAATTTCCCATACTTGTCTCTTATTCTTTATATTTCCATTCCCTTGATCCTTGGAAAGGCTTTCCACTGGTGACCTAAGCCACTGAGACCACCACGTGTTAAAGAGCACTCACATAAATATTATAAGTGAAAATCTGGGGGAGGAGTGAAGGGAGAAGAGCAAAGGATGAATAACTGTGTCAGCCATTGAACAAATCACAATCTAGTGATCTAATGGGAAGAAACACAAACGAGTAAATGCAGCTAATGCCTAGCAGAGATACCTGTTTAGTCCAGTCAAATGCCTGTCCAAAGGCAGCACCTGACAGATGAATATATCAAAACTACCACTTTCATTTTATCAGTTCTTAGTTCAGACACCCTTAATGCTCACAATTTATATGAGGTCAGGATATAAAGTCCATAACAATCAGGGCCTAATCTTTCGAACCTCTTTCCCAAAACAAATTCTGACATTCAGGTCATGCCGGCTTCCCATGAAGTTGAATACAGGCCTAACTAGATACACTAAGCTCCTGAGTCTGTCCCCAAGCGCTTGAGAACCCCCAACTCCTTCCCGGCAGAGCCCCGGGCACAGAGCGGGCTCTCGGAAACGAACTTCCATCGAAGCATTCTAACGTATGATTCATCAAGTGTTATCAACTAAATGAAGTTTGGATTTTTGAAAAGAGGTGGAGAATCGTGCACGCAAGCTGGAGGTTGGGGGCAGACAATTTGTCTTACTCTCTCTCTACCTCCGTGAGGTCGGAGATGTTAATAAACCCTAAAATAAAATGAGGTTTCTAAGGGTGTTTCTGTGGCAGCGGAGTCTACGGAGCAGGTAGAAAATCCAAACGGACAGGAGATTTCCAACAGGTGGGGAACGAATTCCAAGGCACATCCCTTCCCCAGGGCCTTCTCTCCTCCGGAGCGACCCTTGAACCTAACGTAAGAACACACGGCGAGCCTGGATCCCACCTCCACGCCACGTCTCCCCCCGCCGGCGGCGGCCATCCCGCCCCGGCCTCTCGCGTGCGCCGCGCCACACTCCCACCTCCTCGATGTAGGCCGGGGGGTCCCGCTTGATCAGATTCTGTAACTGCGGCAGGTTGCTGGGCAGCTTGTTGTTGTTTCTGCCGGACATATCGGGTGCAGACTCGCTTCGCGGTGAGCAGTTCTAAGAAAACTCACACGGCGGCAGCCGCCAACCAGTCCCAGCTGCAGCACGAACTCGTGCTTCCGGGTGTGACCGGAAATCGCACATGGGACGCCGCGCGGGCGGCGCTATATTGGTAGCGACAGCAACCTACGCTACGGGAGCCTCAGAGTGTCAAATTACTCTCATTGCCGAAACGCACTGCTGTGGTTTACAAGCACCCGCCCCGTCCTTGCATCTGCCGCTACTGCTGCCTAGCGTTGCTGAAACGATCTGAAATGTATTTTTTCACACATACTATTAGCGTATTTCATCATCCAGACATTCATATGAAGCAGAAAATGAAGATTAATTGTTTTTAACCCTGCAGCGTAAAGTTAGAAATTAAAAAGAAAAAAATGGAGGCTAGATAGCACTATCTCATTTTACATGGGGCGTGAATTAGTTTTCCGTAGGATTTTAAATATTTGTTTTAATTTTGTTTTTGGTTGTTTCAACTCAACGTGATCCGGACAGGGGGAAAGAGTGTGTACTGGATAAAATATGATCGCGTTGATTGGGTAAAAATTGCAAAATTAATCTGTACGGAAAATTGAAACATTGTTATAACCTTTGCAAGCATTCCTCAGCCAGAGTTTTTAATTCAGAGCCTGGTAATCCGAAGAGGAGAATCTATTTCTACAATCTGAAGGTGTACAAAAATAAGTAAAGTTTGAATGAATGAATAAGGTAGGGTGTTAATACACAAATACACTATTGATCAACCGCCCGGTGCCGGGCACTATTCCAAGGGTTTCACTTGTATTAGCTCATTTAATCCTCAGAAGAGCCCTCTAAAATAGATCCTATTTTTATCTCTCTTTTACAGGAGAGGAAACAAGCTCACGGACACTGACTGCCTAAATTCATAGCTGGTAAAGAAGCTAGGATTTCAATCTAGGCAATTTTGATTGTAACTACATGAGAAAAAAAAGTAGCCTGACAGCTGGTAGCTGGTAGCTGGTAGCTGGCATAATGGCTAGCAGTGGTGTTCTCCTGCTTAATCAGAGCAATTTCACAGAACATCAACCTCAGTAGAGGTCATCTGTGACCATGACAGAATGATCCATAAACAAGCCAGCTCTGTAATCACATTTGAGCACAAGCAAAATAAATAAAGAACACCGCAAGCCATGATTAGTTATTCAGCTGCATTTGGAGAATGAGCATTTTATTTATTAATTATTGAATCAAGTGCTTATGAAGTTATTAAGAAATAAATGTAAGCAATACATCTTTTTTTAAAATTTCATACATTTAAATTTAAAAATTTTTCTGGTTAGGATGTTTCAGCGAGGGAAAAACATTTTCAAAACAAAATATACTGAAATTATTTAATATAATTCCTGTCAAAATCATAAGTTTATGTACCATGAATATTTATCTTAAGTCACCAAAATGTAAATTGTGAATAAAACATTCCAGCCATGTCACAAGCTTTTATTCAGCACAATCTATGTGCCAGGCACTTGGCGAGGTGCTAGGAATATAAAAATAAGCATGAGCATTTGCCCTCAGGAATCTCACAGAGGAATAAGGGAGACTCATAGATGAACACATTTAAAATGAATAAAAATGTTTTTATAATAGAGCAGTGGAAGCAATAGAATGGATTGAATCCTGCCTGGGGAAATCAGAAAGTTTCACAGTTATGGTACCAGTTGATTGAAATCCTGAAAGATGAGGAGTTTTTCTGGGGGAGAAAAAGGAAGGCTTTCTACATAAAGAAAATAGCCCGTCTACAGGCAGTAAGGCTTGAAAAAGTCTTGTATTTTTAAGCAATGGCTAGAAGTTTGGTGTGATAAAGGTTGGGATAGGAGCAAGCAGCAGGGAAGGAGCTGAGGAAAACCAGCTGGGGGAGGCCGTGTAGTCCTGACTTAACTGCTTTAACTGCTACTCTAAGCAGGGCTTATAAATTGTTCATTCTACCCCCAACAGTCCTGAAGGCAGGATTTGATTTTTTGATAGATGAGAAAACTAAGGCTGAGAGTGGCTAACTGAATATGTATTTTTACAATGTTAATTTGACTATATTATGTGTAATGTGATGTTCATTGTGTACACATGATGTATGTATGCATGATACATGTAATGTGTATGTATTCGCCAGATCAACATGGTAGAGAAGGAAAATATTTTAATCTGCCCATCTTAAGTTTTTGGCTGAGGTTTTATAATAAATGATAGATTAACAAGAGTCAAGTATACATATTTATTTAATGTAAGTTTTATGTGACATGGGGGCCCTCATAAGGAAATGAAGGCCCAAAGAAGCAGTTTGAGCTGGATGTTTTTATTAAGTTGCATAAAACTGTGAAACCATGACAAGATGAAGGGGCTTGGCCTAGGGCAGTGAGTCATGGAGATGTGACTAGGAAGGTAAGGTTCAGTTTAACAAGGTTTGTACACATTTTTCTGCCTCAGTTCCCCATCTCTAGTGATGAGAATGTCTCCCTTTTACATGGGAGTTTTACCTCCTGCTTTCAGGAAAGACTGAGTGCCCTTCTTGCATCTTCTGTCTTACAAATGCCTTTAATTAAAAATAATCAATATGCTAAAGTGGCATAGTTTGGAGTAGTGGGTTCAAAATTTCAACGTCAAAAAAGATTGGATCATAAAACTCCATATCTGTTTCAATATTTATTCTTGGATTGGAAAATTAGTTTTTCTTCTTTTTCTAATTCCCAAATGATTTTTTTTTTTTTTTTTTTTGAGACAGAGTCTCACTCTTTTGCCCGGGCTAGAGTGAGTGCCGTGGCGTCATCCTAGCTCACAGCAACCTCAAACTCCTGGGCTCAAACGATCCTTCTGCCTCAGCCTCCCGAGTAGCTGGGACTACAGGCATGCACCACCATGCCCGGCTAATTTTTTCTATATATTTTTAGCTGTCCGATTAATTTCTTTCTATTTTTGGTAGAGACGGGGTCTCGCTCTTGCTCAGGCTGGTCTCGAACTCCTGAGCTCAAACAATCCGCCCGCCTCGGCCTCCCAGAGAGCTAGGATTACAGGCGTGAGCCACCGCGCCCGGCCCCAAATGATTTTTAACCTGAATTGAATTGTTCTAGAGCAGCAGTCCCCAACCTTTTTGGCACCAGGGACCGTTTCATGGAAGACAATTTTTCTGCTGATGGGGGAGGGAGGGGGGGTGGAAGGGGAGCTCCGGCGGTGATGCCAGCGATGGCCAGGGGAGCAGCTGTAAATACAGATGACACTTTGCTTGCTCACCGTTCCTAAGTTTCATGGAAGACAATTTTTCCATGGACAGGGGTGGGGAGGTGGGGTGGGGAGTTCTGCAGCCCTGTCACTAACAGGACATGGACCACTAGTCCTCAGCCCAGAATTGGGGACCGAAGTTCTAGAGAAAGAAAATCTCATTTATACTTTAGCAAAAGAGACCCTGTTGTAATTATAAAAATGGATAATAATATCTGGATTCACATGGTTTCAAAAATTTTTTATTGAGGGGGCCTAGATAAGAGGCCTATTTAAAAATTCAATTTGTGTAAGAAGGATACTCTTTTTAGTTAAATTTTATGTGTATTTGGGGTGCCTTTTGGGGCATAGGGTACGATAGTCCAGATGGCAACTTGAGCACTAGCCATTAAGACTCTATTACAAGTAGTACGAAGGAGGAAGCTGGGGAAGGGCGAGAGGGTGCCCCTTCCAGCTGAATTAGCCCTCTGAAAGTTCCAAACACCATGATACTTCTGCATATATTAACATGTCTTTAGTCAGAACTTGGTGAGATGGCCAATCCTACAAGGGCAGTTGAGTAATAAAGTCTTTTGGCTGGGCACAGGGATGCCTTTAAGGGAAGGAGAGGTCATGCTTCTTTTGAGGAATAAGGAAAAGTTTTGTGAAGACAGTTGTATTTGAGATGTGTCTTGAAGGATGTGTAAGGTTTTGATATGAAGAGATACATAGAGGAGAAGGAAACGACTCAATTGGGACAGGTAGGAATCTTAATAGAGCTTATTCGTATTATTTATTTCAGAACTTTGTGGCATTCCTTAGGAAACCCTTCCTCATAAAATGAGGGTGTTGAACAAAGCCACTTGTCATGCCAACCTCACGTCTTTTTTTTAATCCTTGCCATATGAAGGTACCAGCCATGTAATAATCAACTGAAACTTTCCTTTAAATTGATGCCAAATACACTCTCTTTATTCATTTAATCCTGTCCAAGGCAATAATATCTGAGAATGATGGGTCTGATGTACTGGTTATATTTTTTGAATACACATCAAAATAGGATGAAACATGAAATAGGTGGGCACAAGGAAAGCTTTGGGGATGAGGATGGATGTATTCATTACCTGGATTGCAATGATGATTTTATGGCTGCTTTCATATGTCAAAACTCATCAAATTGTACACTTTATGGGTAGTTTCTTATACATCGATTTTATCTTAATAAGGCTATAAAGTAAATAGACAAATATGCTATCATTTAAAAAAAAAAAGATGAGATTTCATGCAGAAGCAGAGATGTTGGCCTTTCTTGGCAAATGCCCAGGAGTGGAATGGCTGGATCATAGGGTAGGTTTATGTTTAACTTTTTAAAAATTGCCTATCTGTTTCTTCCACCATTCCATTAAAACTGTTTTTATCAAGATCACCAGTCACCTCCATGTTACTAGATCAATTTGCATGATCTTACCTGCAGCAATGGACGTGGTTGGTCTCTCCCTCCGCCTGGAGACACACTTGGTCATTGGCCTCTAACTGGTCTCTGCATGTTTCCTTGCTCGCTACACGTATTTCCACGTAGTGATGGATCAGGTTACCCCTCCAGCGTCCCGTCCCACTCGGAGTAAAAGCTAGGCTCTGTGGCGTAGAAGGCTGTTACGGACTGCATGATTGTGTCCCCGAAATCTGTATGTTGAAATCCTAATCCCCAATGGGGTGGTATTGGCAGGTGGGGCCTTCAGGAGGTAATCTGGGCATGAAGGTGGAGTCCTCATGATGGGATTGGTGTCCTTATAAGAAGAGACACAGGAGAGCTTGCTTCCTTTCTCTGGTCTCTGCCGCGTGAGGATAGAAGACGTCTGCCTGTAAATCAGGA